ATTTATAAAATTGAATGAAATCATAGGTAGGTTTAATTAGAGAAGACTGTTCATAGTTCAAAAGTGATTTCGGGCTTAAAAATTTGAAACGATCAGAAACATATTTCATTCCATTAAATCGTTCTTTGAGTTTAAATACTATACAATCCACGACTGGTAAAAATACTTTAATCCTAAATTTATCTTCAGAAATATCAAATCTCCGGTCACCGTCAACTTCTCCAAATACTTTTTTATGAAACTTAGGTCTCGAAGAATGGAATGAAATATCAATTCCCCATTCATCATATAAGCGTTTTGATTCTAAATATACATATTGTGCTGTAGTCATTTCGCATGCGTTGCATATTTTGAATAGCTTTATCTAGAAGCATAGAATCATTCTCTAATGCAATATCCGTACTTGGTAAAATTTTAGATACAGTATTTAAATATCTTAAAATATTTTCCCAAWTATATAAAATTAATACAAATTCACTCGATTCTATCTTATTTTTAAGTACTTTACTCATATTTCGTTCATCTTTTTTACTACTTGTAAGTGATATTACTGTTAAACATTTGATTACATCAATAAACCGTTCTTTTAATGCAAATACTCCAGTATGTCTAGATTCCCATCGGGTAGAGCAGACATTGTAAAATGCTTAAAAATAGTAACTACTATTATTTTACTATTATTATTTAGCACTGTATTGACGTATTGCATACTATTTATACTATACTTAATAATTATGCCTATAATTAATTTAATTGTTAAGCATAAAATCTAATAATATTCGTAGAACGGTAGAGCAATAAAAAAATATTTAAATAGACGATTTTCATTTTTGGTTTTTGGTTTTAGAGGCCCCTTAGAGTTGGAGGCCCGTGTGCGTTGCAGACTTTGCACACTCAGTAGTTACGGCACTGGACTGGTGACACGTGTAGCACTGTAGTTAGTAGTCTCTTAACTCATTTAACGCGCTTTTAAAATAAAGAATAATCATTTATTTTCTTTAAAAAACCATCCTTTCAATACTCATGCATATTTTCTATACAAAATAATGTCGATGTTTCACATATGTGATATTTCGAGTGACCCGCAAAGGCTCACATTTTGTAACCATCGTATGATTTCGCGTATCCACTTAAAAAAAATCATAATGCAATAGCCATTATAAGTACTTACTTTTTAAAAATGTATATTTTAATCCTTACAATTTATATGAATAATCATAGTTTATTAATTAATTATTTATGTTTCCATTTAAGTTTACGAGGGTAGTCATTTGTTATATAATTATGTCCCATTTTATTTTTAGTACTCAAGTCCCTAAAAATAATCATATTATAGTTAGATAGATATTTAAACAGTATACAACGTATCATTGCAATACGCATACTTAACAATAATATCACATGGTTAATATATAAATAAAATAAATATGGATGTTTCACGTTTGTTCATTTAATATAGGTATTTTCTATTTAATTTAATGACACATTTAACTTGATATCGTTACTATACAGATCCATAAGAATAATAAAATGAATATAAACCCATACGGTCATATACTGAGAATTTAAAAAAAACATGGTATCTAGCTATGACCGAAATTATTAAATGTGTTGGAACGTTTTATTCGATTTTTTTTTCGTTATTATAGGAAACTATGGGAATGCATTACTTTTATATGATGGCTGTTCAGTATTCTGATATTCTGATTTTACTCGACTAGTCAAAATGTTTAAATTGTCCATATACTGTACATATATGATTCATATATTATAATTATTCTATAATAAAAAATAATCCAGTAAATTATAATTTACTAAGCCAAATCACAATGTATTATAAATGGGTACTACATTTACCACATAATAATATGTATATGGACGATACACGAATATTGTTATTTTTAAATTTTTAATTCTCCCAACATAGCTTTTGATAGCATCAATTTATGAACATAATATTATGTAATTACGCATTATGTAAGTACTTAATAATTATTGTTTTGAATTTAATATTGTATAAGTAGTTGTTTGAACGTGGGGACAATTTGATGTCAAAAAAAA